GCTCCCTGTGGCTCCAGCACCCACGCCCTTCCCTCTAGCTCCCTGTGGCTCTAGCATCTATACCCTTACCTCCAGTTCTCTGTAGCTGTGGCACCCATTGCCCTTCATTCCAGCTCCCTGTGGCTCTAGCACCCACGCCCTTCCCTTCAGCTCCCTGGGGCTCTAGCACCCATGCCCTTCCCTCTCCAGCTCCCTGGAGCTCTGGCACCCACACCCTTCCCTCCAGCTCCCTGTGGCTCCAGCACCCATGCCCTTCGCTCCAGCACTGTCTCCCCTCACATGTGCACACACCTGTCCTTCCATGCAGTTACTCTTGAGAAATACCAAATGTTCCCGGGGGAACGCATTTCCTCAATGTAACCTCCCCACCATCCGCACCAGGATAACTAGCCGATGAGGGCAGAATGCCACGCTTCAAGTGGCAACAGATCACTAAATGAAGCACACTTCCCCTTCCTCCAGTTCACCAATTCTGATCTTCAGACTGGGTCTCTGTGGGGTTCCTTGGGCTTCTCAGGGTAAGCATTTCCCCCAAAGTTACTATGGGCTCGTGGACACAAACCTCAGATCCCAAATGAGCCCAATACCTACATTTCCAAAATGCTTCTCTTTGGCATTATTTCTGAAAATGCCCCAAAACTGAAAGAACTGGTACAACTTTCCAGATATAAAAACCCAAGAGCATGCTGCATCTCAACTCAGAGAAGCTCATTCAACTAAGGCAGACTTCCTTCCGTGCAGGTGAAATGGCACTTTTCATTGCACATGATGAAAATTTAAAGTCAGTGCTGTGTAACAACTCCTGCACCACACAGAAATCCTTCATAAATGAGACCACATCATTCTTTTCTGCACTGCAGCATCTTGGCAGACACACAGATTGTAATACCAGCACAGGCCACTGGATGGAGCATCTCAGAGTTCAGATCACTCTCCACGTGGCTTGCACCCTGAAGATCGTGACTGCATAAACCAGCTTCTTCCTAGCTGGGATCTGCCACAGCCCATCGGGCAGATGGTACTCACAGTGACGATGAAGGTGAGCACCACAAAGACAAACCGGAACCAGATTTCCAAACGGGAGAAGGCAGGGTCATAAGTCTTCCACTGAAATGGAAAGTGGAGAAAACAATATGAAAAGAAAATCATGCACACATCTAAGAGGAAATATACCAGATTACTAATAGTTATCTCTAGATATGAGATAGAATTTTTTTTTGAGGCAGTGTCTTCCTCTGTTGCCCAGGCCAGAGTGCAGTGGTGCAATCTTGGCTCACTGCAACCTCTGCCTCCTGGGTTCAAGCAATTCTCCTGCCTCAGTCTCCAGAGTAGCTGGGATTCCAGGCACCACCACGCCCAGCTAGTTTTGTATTTTTAGTAGAGATGGGGTTTCACCATGTTAGCCAGGCTGTTCTCAAACTCCTGATCCCTGGTTATCTGCCCGCCTCAGCTTCCCAAAGTGCTGGGATTACACGCGTGAGCCACTACGCCTGGCTGAGACTAAGTAATTTTAAAAGTTCTTTTTCCTCATACTTGAGCACCACAACCTCCAGCTCCCTGTGGCTCTAGCATCCATGCCGTTCCCTCTAGCAGAGCATCCCCTCACATGTGCACCACACACCTGGGTCCTTCCATGTATGGTTAGTATGAGAAATATCAAGTGTTCCCGAGTGAACACATTCTAGATATGAAACTACCATTTTATTTTTGAGACAGTCTCTCACTCTTGTCGCCCAGGTTGGAGTGCAGGGAGATGATCTGTAACCTCTGCCTCCCCAGGTTCAAGCACTTCTCCTGCCTCAGCCTCCCAGGCAGGTGGGATTACAGGCACCTGTCACCATGCAGGTTAAAATTTTGGAACATCCTGTAGGGGTTCAGTCATAGTGGGAGAAATTGTAAGAGAAAAATTATAGAGAAATAGACGCAAACCTATTTGGAAGGCCAGGAGGTTTTTGCTCATTCCTCAGGAAGGAATGAGCCCAAGGTGATGGTTCTTACCCCAGAGGCAATTAGGAAGGGGTAGGTACAAAGGAATGGGGGGTAGTTTATCTAAAGAGCTTGTTTACTCATGTAGTCCTAAGACTGACCTTTGAACATCCATGGTCATATGACTGCTCTCTACTGGGGGAGGGGGGATCAACAATGTTATTACCCACAAATGGTGTTTGCTTTATTTAAGCCTCTGAACCGGGCTTTTAATCATTCGTAGGACTGCTCTCTCAGGGGAAAGCAACCATGTTAATTATCTACAACTGTGCTGACTCAAAGCCTCTGTCATTAAATCTATACTACATACAATGCCTGCAGTGCCAGCTGGTAAGGGCCACATCTGCTGACTCTTTACAGCACCCTCCTCTGTGTCTGTGAGTGGCCCAGACCCCCAAGCCTGCTCTGTCACTGGGTATCTGTGTCTCAGTGCATTTCTTCATCTGTCACTGGGTCAGGGTCTGTGGGTCGGACCGACAACATCCTACATGTTCCAAAATTGTAACATTTAGTAGAGTTTACTTTTTTATCAAAGAACACAGACATAAAAAAATCTTAATTACCAAGAGGTAAAAATAATTTTAAACGGTGTTACATAAATGATAAATCTGACAAATTATTTTATAATCCTAAGAGCATTTGGATCTTAAATCTCACATCAAAAATCAACCTTGCCAATCTCTTTATTAGAAATAATCACACTTCCCAACAAAAGAAAGTTTTAAAAGACATAAAGATGTCACTAGAATGCTGTAACAAAGTTTAAGTAAAACCTTTAAGTATAAACGTGAAAGCAGAAGAGTAAGCCGCAGTTGAAGCAGTCCCACGTGTGCCAAGTGCACACTGATGGAGCTGAAGATGCAGGCGCCACTGTGTCAGGGCAGGGCAGAGGCCGGCCGCTGCCAACCCAAGCACGAGCCAGGTCCATAACCAGACCCCAGAACACTGCGCTCACAGGGCCAGTGAGCCCCATCATTCTGATGCATTGAAGTAAAGTCATCTGAGCAATTTAAAAAATCCACTTCAGTAAAGATAGTTACAGACACCAGATTTACCTAAAACATTAAAAAGTACACACACACACACACACAGGCACGCATAAGAATGATTTAAGACACTGGACCTGAGGAGGCAATGAAGGACAGTCACCTCTGACTGATGAGAAACAACAAGGGGTGCCCCTGGTGGCCCCACATAATGGAGGGGAACTCGGGCAGAGCCACGGCTGGGACTTCAGGGAAACAGGGCTGGCCTGAAGCCACAGGACAGAGTACTGGAAAGGAGAGCTGTGGAGAGAGCGAACAAACCTCCCAGAAAGCCACTGCCTGGCACCCACAGAGCCAGAACGGTGCCCATTCCCCCAAGACAGAGAAAAAACTCACCATCAAAGGGCACTGGGTAGGTAGCATATGCTGAAGGCTTCTGCCTCAGTGGTAGGAAAAAATTAGCCTCACACTTAGTGCTGCTTAAGCCCCACCTAACAATGCTGAAAAGCAAGGCCTGAAAAGATCAAACCATTTCCAAGGAAGCTGACAACATCCCACAACAAAGCTCAGGGATATTTATAAGATATAAAAGCTAGCAATCAATAATGTCCGGCATTTAACCAAAAGTACCAGACACACCAAAAAGCAGGAAAATACAAACCATCATGAGGAAAAAACCCAGCCAATCAAAACTGGCCCAGAAATCATAGATGACAAAATTAGCAGATAAGGACATTAAGAATCTAGATGAAAGATTTCTGCGTTAAATGAGGACTTGGAAGATGATCAACAGCATATCAGACATGACAGAGAGTGGTGAATGTGAAGGCACGGCAACAGAAGCGATCTAAAATAAAACTGAAAAAAAAAAAAGTCTGGAAAAAATGAACAGAGCATCAGGAAGCTTTGGGCAACTTCAAATGGCCTAATACAGGGGTCCCCAGGCCACAGACCAGTACTGGCCATGTGGCTGGTTAGGAACCGGGCCACACAGCAGCAGGTGAGCAGTGGGCCAGCGGGCATTACCGTCTGAGCTCCACCTCCTGTCAGATCTGCCAGAACATTAGATTCTCAGAGGAGCACGAACCTGCTGTGAATTGTGCAGGTGAGGGATCTAGGTTGCACACTTCTTACGAGAACCTCATAAGTGTGATGCACTCGAATTGTCCCAAAAAGTCCCCAACCAACTCTGGTCCCTGGAAAAATTGTCTTCCATGAAACCAGTCACTGATGCCAAAAAGGTTGGGGACCACTGACCTAATTTGGAGTCCCTGACTTTGGGAGGTAGAGGGATCAGAAGGACAAAAAAAGTATTTGAAGAGATAATGGCCAAAATGTTTCCGATTTGATGAAAGCTATCGATTCACAAATCCAAGATGCTCAATGGATCCCAAGCACAAGAAACAGGGAAAAGTATAAAAAGCATCCTAAGAGAGACTCTTAAAAGGGGGTGGGGAGAGGGAAGGACATTATTACAGAAGATGAAGATAAGGACAAACATAAGGTGGATAGCAGATTTCTTTTCAGAAAAGTGCAAGCCAGAAGACAGTGACCAACATTTTCAAAGTATGTAAATTAGGCCAAGTATGGTGGCTCGTGCCTATAATCCCAACACTTTGGGAGGCCAAGGTAGGGTAGTTTGAGGTCAGGAGTTTGAGACCAGGAGTCTGGGACCAGCCTGGTCAACAGAACAAGACCCTGTCTCTACAAAAATAAAAAAGTTAGCCAGCATGGTGACGTGCACCTGTAGTAGCAGCTCCTCCGGAGGCTGAGGCAGGAGGATCTCGAGCCCAGGCTCAGTGAGCTATGATTGCATTTCTGCACTCCATCTAGCTGACAGAGCAAGACCCCATCTCAAAACAAAAAAGTACATAAATTAAAACCATACAGTAAAACCATTAAATATTATACACCTATTGGAACAGCCAAAATTTAAAAGACTGACTATACTGAGTGTTAATGGGATATGAAATCCTTGTAAGCTGCTGGTATAATATTTAATAACACAACCACTCTGCAAAACAGTTTCTTAACCCCCATGGACCAACCATCCGATTTCTAGCATTTATCCAAGATAAATGAAAGCGTATGTCCACACAAAGATTTATACATAGATGTTCGTTGCTGCTTGTCTTTACGTCAGCCCCAAACTGAAAGCAATCCAAATGTCCATCAACAGGTGAATGAATAAACGATTGTTACATTTATACTGGAATAACACACAGCATGAACTATGGACACAGCATCATCGATCACCCTCAAAATAATCATGTTAAGTGAAACAATTCACACCTTTGGATAAGTACATATTGTATAATTCCAGTTACATAAAATTCTTTAAAAAATGCAAATGAGTGTGCTGTGAAAATAGATCAGTGGGTTCCCAGGGATAGAAGGGGCGGGAGGAAGGAACACAAGAAGGAGATGTTTAGGGGTGATGCCTGGTAAGGGGATGCTTATAATCTTGATTGTGGGAACAGTTTCCCAGGTTTCACTGTGGGTCAAGCAGACCTCAATAAAGCTGCCAAACAGAAAACAACCACTCCCAATAATAGATGGTAATGGGGACGTGGAGATCACAGCAATTCAGGCTCAAATTCCAGCTCTTCCCATTATAAGTTGGGCAAATGACTTAATCTTATGAAACCTCAGATTTTCCTCCATATAATAAATTGGAATGCTAGAACCTACTTCACATAATTACTGTAGCTTTTTTTTTTTTTTTTAAGGCAGACTTTTGTACTTGTTGCCCAGGCTGGAGTGCAATGGTGTGATCTCGGCTCACTGTAACATCCACCTCCCAGGTTGAAGCGATTCTCCTGCCTCAGCCTCCCGGGTAGCTGGGATTACAGGCATGTGCCACCACACCCGACTAATGTTGTATTTTTAGTAGAGATGGGGTTTCACCATGTTGGTCAGGCTGGTCTCGAACTCCTGACTTCAGGTGATCCGCCTGCCTCAGCTTCCCAAAGTGCTGGGATTATAGTTTGAGCCACCACACCCAGCCTATCATAGCATTTTAATGAGATGATGCATATTAAAAGCTAAGCACAATGCCCAGCAAAAAGCAAAGGTTCGGTAAACGACAGTTGCTACTATAAATCCAAAACGTCATATAATTATTACGATTATTGC